AGTTCACACGGAGGAGATTCATGAATTAGCCATAACTCCACTAGTACCCCTCAATGGCCCCGTTCTCTCTTACGGTTCAAAATGTACTGCTGACCTTGGGTTTGTTTCTGTTTTTTTTTTTTCCTGGTAGGATTATTTGGGGCTTTTGGTAGTTTAAACTCTTTAACTTTTTTTTTTTTTTTTTTTTTTTTTTTGCTGTGTATGAGGAAAGCTAAAGCTGTTATCCACTTCTTATTCTACGGATACTAACACGGGTTTTCAGTGTTTGTTTGTTTTTATTATTATTAATTTTGCGTGATGTGAATACCCTCTCCCATCAATATTTGTATTATGGTGCTATATATTTGGTAATGATCCTTTACTATTGGGAAGGGATTTTAAAAATACTGTGATTAAACTGGGTTTCTTCCTTTGATTTTCATATTTTAAATATAAAGCCACAGTCATTTATACAAAAGAAAAGCGTCTGTCCCTGGGCAAATCTTTGGAGGACAGAGGTCAAACTAAACTGCATAAGGTTTTTACATCATTTCTGTATGTATTTGATATATAGACCAATATCTGTACAAATTTAATCTTTTATTTTCTTGGTAACTTGTGATCATTGAGAAAGGATTTGAAACTTTCTCAGGAAGTGTATATAATGGCGTGAAAAATTCTTGGGAGAAATTTATGTTCCTTTCATTTTTACCAAATTGCAAATTTTCAGCATGGATGTAAAAGCATTAAAATTATAACTTTGTGTACAAGATGAAAATAATTCACTAAATTTGCCCTTTTTTACACAAAATAAAATATTAAAGTTAAGTTGTGTTTTGAGCGGTTTTTTAATACACTTTTGTCTTTGAGAGGTTTCCTCTTTTTTTTCCTTAAAAATATCAAGTGCCTTCTGTAAGCAATCAGAGGCCCTTGTGAAAGTCCATTCAGTTTTTTCCTCACAGAACCCGCAGTCTAATAAGGTAAAAGGAAGGTCATGAGTGAGAACTGACTACTTTCTGACAAGGAAGGAAAAGAATGTGGGCGGATATATGGACAAGGTCACGTTTGAGACGGGGTTTCGCTGACAAAGGCACAACACACAACAGGAGCAGAGGTAAGTGTGGACCACTTAAGGGGGGTTTGTTTTTATTTTTAATTCTTCTAACATTGTAAAACATCGGCAGGTCTGGCTCATTCCCTCTCCATCCCTGCCAAACCTGGGGGCGGGTCTGCCTTGTTTGCTCTGCCTTTATTTTGCCTGTGATGACCAAGATACAAAGGCATCTGCTGCATTGGACTCCAAAGTTCACACTGTCCTCGCCTTTCTAGATCTTGACAGGCTTGGCATCCTTTCATCTGTCTGTGCCCTGGAAGTCCTTGATTTCCTCGATTTTGTGAGGCATGGCTACCAAGCGGTGAGCGCGCCTTGCATTACCACAGTTCCCCAGGTACTTACTGCCCAAGAGGCCAAGGAGGGGTTACATCACCTTAGCTAAAAAAACGTGTTTCAAGGTGGCTTGCCTGCTAGGGGACTTTTTTTATCCTTCAAGCTCTGTTAATCTCTCAAGGAAAGTTCATAGGATGTAAATAAATTGTCCCAGCCAACTGGTTACATTAAGGAAGAATACAAAGACAACTCCTCTACCAATGACTGCTTCTTTGGAACATGAAACTTCTGCATAAGCAGTTTGTAGAGAATTTGATGATTGTAAGATTATAAGAAGATGAATTGGGTCTCTTCAGAGGTTGATTCCAACATATTTGAGAAAAAAAATACAATGCATTCCAAGAAAAATAGGCACAGACCCTAATTTCGGCCCTGTCGCCCATTTTGACTGGCCTGAACCGCTGCCCTGGTCAGCTGGAACTCCCAGGTTGGCTCTCATTACTATCCCACAGGCTTTGATACATATATTCTTTTAAGTTTTGATCTATATTTTTTTCTTGAAACCATTACGTGCCTCTTAGGGAACTGTGTTCCTAACATACTTTATGGCCAGAATTTTAAGAGCAACAAGTGTCCCCCCAAACAAGTAACTTTTTAGCACTCTCGGCTGGGGGCAGGGGAACTGCTTCCTTTTTACAGACCTTCAGAGTAACCCTCGTTGTCTCAAGCAGGCCAACATGGGGCTTGCCTTCCACCAACAGATAGGTGATCGTGTAAAAGAGTGACATATTTTAAATACCGGAGTTGACGAAAGCAGGTTTGCCATTGTGAATATGGAACAGTTTGTTCTTGTTTTGTTAATTACTATTTTCCATACGAAAAACTGTAAACCTGATTTTGCCCACTTTACCACCCATTTACTGTGTAAAACAAAAAGCTTTACTGAAAGCACGAATGGTTCTGCGTGAGTTGTCCATTCACACACCTAGCTGGTACCTGAAATGAGGTCCAAAACCCAGTCTCCCTCCAGAAGCAGCACTTTTCTACTTTATTTTTCAGTTACTGTTTACATTCAGTATTTTGTGTTAGTGTCAGGTGTGCAGGATTGTGGTTAGACAAGTGTGTACTTGACAAAGTGATCTGCCCAGTGTATCCGGCACCTGGCACCACACGTTACCACGGTGTTGACTCTACCTCCTCAGAGGCAGTGCTTTCAGCCTCTCCATACTCTGCTCTTTCTTCCACTTCTTCCAAATGAAGTCCTAACATCAATCCTTCCTGTCAGCTCTCACCACTCCAAATTGGACTTGAACCCTGAGAACTCAGGACTTGGGCATGTCACTTGGGTAACTGTATAAAGGCAGTCACGCACAGTAGCCAAGAGCGTGGGGTCTGAAGCCAGCTGCTTGGATTGAAACACCTTCACTTGTTTCAAGTGCTGGGAACTGCCCTGCCTGGTTTCAGAAGGTGTAACCTCCCCCACTGCTAAGGCTGAGTAAAGAGACCTTGAGGAGACAAAGCTTAGCTTCCTGGTAGGGGTGCTACCTCTGCTCCCTTTCACTTCACCCTGCTTAGCCCCCAGGCAGATGACTGGTTAGCCAGTGACAGGTAAGATCTTAAAGGGAGGAATGACCTAAGACTGGCCGGTCGGTCACAAAGGGACCCTCAGGGAAGGACTTAATGGGCTATAGAAAAAGGGGGTGTTGAACCCCGCCTCTCGGTTCTCATTCTGTCTTCGAAAAGGCTCCTAATCTCTTGGTTGCCTTACTTCCCCTGCCTGACTTAAGCTTGAAACAATGCCGGAGGTGGGTGCAGCCCTGTGCTGGAAAGGGTGAGTTGATTCCCCAGGGCCATTAGGCCTAAGAAAGAATGCATAAAATTCTGTAAAACCTGAATACCCATTGAGGGTATTAGGTTTGCCAATACCCTCAGTGTAGATGATAAGGGTCTGAGCGTAAAACAAGTTTGTTTCCTCAAAGTTTTATGGCCCTTTAGCCAACTCACCTCAGCCCTCACAGTTATTTGAATATTATCTATTGTTTGATCATTACTGCCTGACAGTGATTGATGAACTTTACCTGTATTCCTGTGCAAATTAAACCCAATGAAAGCTGAGGAACAGGCTCCTGGTCCTTTTTTGAGAGAGGGACCACCTTTCCTCCCCAAGCAGATCATGTCTTGGTAGACTTATTCTTATCCCTGGCAGACAGGGCCAGGGTGCCGCCTGCCTTAACTCAAATTGCAAACTAGGGATATTGTTGTGGCCTGGTAGCTCAGTTGCTTAGAGCATCGACTCCCAATGACGCCAACGGTATAGGTTCAATTCCCAGCCAGGGCACATTCAAGAATCAACCAATGAATGCATAAATAAGTGGAACAACAAAAAAAATTGTTTCTAATAAAATGGGTATACTAGTAGCAACCTCCCAAGATTAAATGAATTCACGTAAGTTTTTATGTTTTTATTTATTCTCTTTTAGTTGACCCAATTGGTTTCCCCTTTGCTCCCCTCCCCTCAGCCCACCCCTCAGCCCCCACTCCATTGTCCGTCCATGGGCCATACACACATGTTCTTTGACTAATCAGTCCCTTCTCCCTTTTTTTAAGATTATTTTTAGAAAGAGGGGAAGGGAAGAAGAAAGGGAGATAAACACTGATCAATTGGTTGCCTCTTGCACGCCCCCACCTGGGGACCTGGCCCACAACCCAGGCACCTGCCCCAACCTGGAGACCAACCTGCAACCTTTCAGTTCACAGGACAACGCCCAGCACAATGAGCCAGGCCAAGTCGGGTAAATTTTAAATTGGAAAATAGTTTAGAAAATATTAAACCTAATTGACTTGAGATTATACCAAACTCAGTGTGCTTGTCACTGTCGTGTGTAGCAGGATTAAAAATGTAACCCTGAAATAATAACAAAAATAAAGTCGCATTTAAGTGACATTTAGCTTACACCTGTTTCCTAACAAATACTCGGTATTCATAGGCCCACCTGTTTCTATAGTCTCCAGTTTTTAAGCCAAACTCCCAGTGATCAGTGCCAACCCAGCAAAATTAACCTTAAGAACATAGAAGATAAATGTTGTAACCACTCAGTGCTCTGGCCCAAGGACACCAGCAGGACAAGTATTTTCCCCCAGAGAAGAAAGCAGTACGGTGGGGCAGCATATTTGTGTGCCCGCAGTGGGCCAGGCACTAGGTTAACGCCTTTATATCCATTATTTAATCCTGCGTCACAGTGATCTCGTTTTACAGATGTCTTAAGTAGGCTTCTATTTCCTCAGACGTAACTCGCCCCGTTTGCAATCAGCAAAAATGCATGTCTGGATGAGTATGTTTCACTCTATCAAGCTTAAGTAAATTACTTGTACCTAAGTACACATTTCACATCAGCTAAAGAGGCTGGGGTACGAAACGAGGTCATTTCCTTAGATAAGAGTACTCAGCGTGCTGCACACGGTCCTCGCCAGCCTTGCTCCTTCCCCCCTAGAGTCTTGAGGTGTACGGAGGTGCTAAGGAGGATCAGATCCTTCTTCCATAATAAGCAGGGCTAATTAGTTCTGGATAATGCTACGCTAGCCAGGGAACCAAGTCACTTCTTCCAGCGTACCAAGGAAGCACAGAAGGCTGCACCCAGTTTCCAAAGGCTTTATTGGTGAATATACTTTAGAAAACAAAGATTGATCCAATTGCTTCCAAGTCAGTGGAATGGACAGCTGTGTCCAGGGAAACACCCAAGCGGAGCCAAAGGCGACTGATGCTTTGTCCATTCCTTTATTCATAGATCCAGTCGAAAGCGCAAGACTTGTAGTCAACCAGTTCTTCTGGCTTAAACCACAGGCTGATTTCTCTCTCGGCACTTTTTACGGAGTCACTGCCGTGAATGATGTTCCTGAGAAAGACCAAATGCTAGTTAATACACTGCAAAGCGCAAACGTCTGTCCAACAGATAACGCAAAGGGCAACCATGGCAGACCTTTCAGCCAGGTTGTCACTGGAAGCATAAAACTCCCCCAAAGTATTTCCTCTTAAAAGCAACCATAAAAGTACTTAGTTAAAAACATCCCTTGGGCCCTGGCTGGTGTAGCTCAGTGGATTGAGCGCGGGCCTGGGAACCAGACAATCGCAGTTCGATTCCCAGTCAGGGCACATACTGGGGTTGCAGGCCAGTTCCCTGCAGGCCAGTTCCCAACAGGGGATGCATGAAAGGCAACCATACATTGATGTTTCTCTCCCTCTCTCCTTCCCTTCCCCTCTAAAGATAAATAAATAAATAAATCTTTTTTTTTAAAAATCCCTTGGTTCCACTTTATTATGCTTCCATGTCCCCCCCCCTTTGAAATATTACTTGTACCCCAAGGAAACTCACAAAACGTTCCTTCTCCAATTTTGAAAAACACAGGGAGAGCCAACCCAACCCAGACCAAACCTGAAGTAGACATGATGTATTCATTATCAAGGGCATTTTCTGCTGAATTTTCTTAACACTAATTTACAAAGCCCAACCATGACATTCATGCTCATTTGACAATCCCTTTATTCCACTGGAATCTCTTAATTGTAGTTCTTGTACAGATTTTTGCATAGGTGAGGGGCCACAAGGTTAAGTGACAGACCCATGGACGTAGTGCCACAAATAGCAAAGCTGAGGCTAGCGGCCTTTCCTCACATTCGTTCTGCTATACGCAGCTCCCTCCTGTGATGATGTCTTGCCTAAAATTTGAATGAAGTAGCACAAGCAGCCAAGGGCAGTAACTATTTAAAAACACTTGCATCTGATGATAATTACCACCTGCATTAGAACTTCAAATTCTTCTAAAATCGTGATACCCGTTTAAAATGGCTTTGAGGAAGTCATACGCGCCCCTCAGGACTTACCTGCCAACTTGAATGCAGAAGTCTCCACGAATGGTGCCTGGCTTAGAATCTGCTGGATTGGTCTCCCCGAGCATCATCCTCCCTGTCTTCACCACGTTCAGCCCCTCCCAGACCTTGACATTAGGGAAAGGGAATTGCATCAGGCAGGTCTGCCGTTCAGGACATTAGGAACAAACGTTTACCCCTACCTAACAGCACCCAATCAATCAAACCAACCAGTGACATGAGTATCAGCTAACCCCAGTAGATACTAGGGGGCTACGTAAATACTCCATACCCCATCGCAGATGTATTGCTAGTGTCAAAAGTCTGCCCAACTTGGCAACTTTCCAGTGAGGTGAAGATAAACAATACTAAAGAATCCTGCCCTGGCTGGTGTGGCTCAGTGGACTGAGTGGCGGCCTGTGAGCCAAAAGGTCGCCAGCTCCACACCCAGTCAGGGCACATGCCTGGGCTGTGGGTCGGGTCCCCAATTGGGGGCGTGAGAGAGGCAACTGATCAATGTATCTTGCCCATTAATGTTTCTCTCCCTCTTTTTCTCCTTCCTTCCCACTCTCTCTAAAAATAAATAAAAATCTTTAAAAAAAAAAAGGAATCCTTATGCATCCACAAACACTGAGAAGGTGCTGAAAGAGTACAGAAAAGTGATTTAACTGGAACAGAATCAGTGAGGGCATCCCAGAAAATGTTCGAGGAAGAGCTGGCAAAGACTGACATGAAAGGGGGAAGGGTGCTCCAGGGAAGAACAAAGAAGGGGCGTCCTCACGGGGCAGGAAGTAGATCTCCTTTCTCAACAATTTACTGGCTCCCCATTACACCCTGTACTTCTAGTCTCTTCACTCCCAATTGGACATTAAGCCACAGGAAGAAATAAGACTTCTTTGTTTCCAGTATGGGATTACACAGAAAGTTCTCTAAGCTCTGCTTCACCTTCCTTTTTCTTCCCGAGCTCCTAGTTGCTCTATTAATTAAATTCCAGCATTCTCCATCTATAAAACAAGGAATTTGGAGTAGCTGAGGAAGATGTCTAAAACATGGCACGTAGCCCTGGCTGGTGTGGCTCAGTGGATTGAGCACCTGCCTGTGAATCAAAACATCACTGGTTGATTCCCAGTCAAGGCGCTTGTCTGAGTTGCAGGCCAGGTCCCCAGTTGGAGGCAGGCGAGAGGCAACCTATCGATGTATCTCCAGCATGTTTTTCTCCCTCTCTTTCTTACTCCCTTCCCCTCTCTCTGAAAGTAAATAAATAATCTAAACAAAGGAATATGACACAGTCATTGACCAAGGCCAGTTCCTTTCAGCCCTCAGTTTCCCGGACTTCCCTTCCTCGCCAGTACGCACTTACCATGGCCACCACAGGCCCTGAGTTCATGTACTTCACCAGCCCGGGGTAGAACGGGCGGTCTTTCAGGTCAATGTAGTGCTCCTTCAGGAGTTCATTGGAGGCCTGGCAGTGATGAGGAGGTACCAATTAGCAACTACAATGGAAAGGGTCGAATATGGCTCCATCAGCTTCTCAGACTCCCATTAACATGCTAACATCTCTAAAAGTCCAATTTAGTATTTTAGCCCACATTCCTAAGGTGTTTTAAAAAAAAAAAAAAATCCCATCCAGCCGTTCAGTGTGGCTCAGTTGGTCGGAGCCCTGCCTCACACTCCAAAAGGCTGAGGGTATGATTCCAGACAGCACACATAACTATGCTGTGGGTTCAGTCTGGGTCTGGCGCCGCTAGGGGGCAGCCAATGGAGGTTTCGCCCTAATACTGCTTTTTCTCTTTCTCTCTCTCTCTCTCTCCCTCTCTCTCTCCCCCTCCTCTCTCTAAAATCAATAAGCATTTTTTAAAATCCCACAAAACATGAAACTGACCCTATTTTACCAAAAGACTGTTCTCATGATGACAGCTTCATAATATCAATGACGTTACGAATGTTATCCTTAGAGTAGATGGTTTGAGGATCTAGACTTAGGTAAGTGTTGGATGCAATCGAAGGAAATGTGCCCGATGGAGGTCCCATTAGACTCCCCTGGCCCATCACAACGCCCGCTTAAACATTTTAGATGTTAAGTGAGAACATTCTCTTCACTAATGAGCTTGGTTAAAATTTCACTACTTAGATACTTATCCCTTAAGGTCCGGATCTGTTTGCCCCCAATTTAATGTGGAAAAGACAATTACGACAAAGCCTGCAGAGAAGGAACACCCCACCGAAAACTTCATCTCAGGGTTACAAGCCCAAACACAAAAGGATTCCCAGGCCCCGTTCCGAGCCCAGGTAGACCCACGTGGGCCAGGGAAAGGGGCCTGGGGCGAGACTTTCTTCACTCTCTGCTGCCCCCAAGTGACGGATGGGCAGGCAACGGTCCCACGCAGCCGCAAGAAGGAAGCCTGTCCGGGGCAAGAGTCACGTTACCTACGCTTAACCTTTCCAAGGGCACGGGTGCTCCGGGACCTCGGGACATGGTCTGCGGGCAGAGGGCCAGGGGAGGGGCAAAGGGATTCCAGCGGGGGCGAAGGTAGCAATGGGGATCTCCGATCCAGCGAGACGTGGACAAAACGTCCACGGGGCGCAAAATCCTCTGCAACCAAGCTACTGAGTGCGGGGGCGCGTACCCTTAGGAACTTCATGGCCACGAGGCGGAACCCTTTCTGCTCGAACCGCTTAACGATTTCGCCCACCAGGCCGCGCTGCACGCCGTCTGGCTTGATGGCGATGAAGGTGCGCTCCGTGTTCGCCATGGTCCTGCGGATGAAAGGTCCGGTAAGGGTCCTGGGGCGGCCGACACAGGCCGCGCCCAGCCCCTGCCCCGGCTCCAGACCCAGGAGCCCACGTGGGCGCTTTCGCCACCCCAGCTGCCTGCGCTGGCGCCCCCGCCGCCACTGCGTGGACACGTGGCTGCCCGGGCGCCTCTGCACTGCCCCGGCCCGCTGCCCCTCTGCAATCCCCCGAGGCCCTTGGAGGGCCGCGCCAGGGTCCCCGGGCCGCAGAGCCTGACTTCCCGCTGGGACCTGGCCCAGAGGCTTGCGGGGACAAGGGGCGCCTGAAGACCGGATCCGCCCTACGCGAAACCAGCTGGTGATGGGACTGAGGGAACAGGAGTAGGAAAGCGTCCTCATCGCCTTACCGAGAAGCGGGCGAGCGGGCGGCAGCTACACTGTGCTGCTGAGCCGGAGCGGAGACCTGTACGGACCACCGGAGCCGAGAGTCGCCCACGAAGGAGGGGCGCTTGGCGGCCACACCCCAGAGGGCCCAGCCGCCCAACCCGCGCGACCGGACGCTGCCGGAGGCCTCTGTCCACGCCCCGGGTTTGCAAGTCTGGGCTCTGGGGCAGGAAGTGATTTCTTCTACACGTAGAAGGCCCATAAGTGAAAACTAGGCACGTCTAAATCCAATTCCTCTCTTCCTCCCTCTCCTCTCTCTCTCTCTCTCTCTCTCTCTCTCTCTCTCTCTCACACACACACACACACACACACACACACACACACACACACACAAAACCTAAACCTGGTCCTGGTCTTGAGTTCTTACCCAAGTCAACACCATCTGCTTTCACCATCCACCCGAGCACCCAGAATTGAGATTTCTCTCCCCGTGAATCCCAGTCTTCCTCTTCCTTCCGCTCTGCTGGGTTCCAGCCCTCCACCTCCCTTGGCGCCCTCCTCCAGCACCCGTCTGACTCTGTCCTGTTTGATGCCTCCCGTCTGGAAAATGGCATTCCAACCCCTTAGCAAGATACCCCATACTTGCCATGGTATGCCCTGCTCTCCCTCCACCCCACCCCCACATTTCCAGCTCCAAGTGGCTGCTCTGTTCCCACCCAGTGTAACTGTGTGGTTAGGTCACCCACGTCAGCCTGAGACACACCCTTGACAAGATTCGCAGAAATCAGGCCTGCCATCGATTTGCACGCAATCCCCACCCTTGGTGGTTGGTGCCAACCTCTGCCTTTCACCGCTTCTTTCTTACTGGAACCAAGTCCCTTAGCTCATCACCAGCCCTACTTACCCACTTGAATTTTTTTTTTTTTTTTGTATCAGCTTTACTGGGGCATATTTGACAAATAAACGCTGTATGGATTTAAGATCCATGAGTACAATTTGATGTTCTGATACACATACAGGGATGGGCAAAAGTAGGTTTACAGCTGTTCCTATGGAAAAAGGCAAGACACAGCTTATGATTATTACAGTGGACTGCTTTGCACGCTTACAATTTCAAACCCACTTTTGCTAACCTCTGTGTTAAATGATCAACATAAATATCACTTAACATAGCTACCATTTTCTTTACTTGGGGGGCGTGTAATAACATGTAAGATCTACCCTCTTAGCAAATTTATTTGTGTGTATGTGTGTTTTTGTTTATTGGTTTTAATTTTTTGTTTTAGCAAATTTCAAGTAAATACTACATCTTTATCTTTCCTTTTCTTTTTTAATGTATTTTATTGATTATGCCATTACGGTTGTCCCATCCCCCCTGCTTCATTCCTCTCCACCCTGCACAGCCCTTCCCACCCACATTGCCCACCTTTAGTTCATGTCCACGTGTCATAAGTTCTTTAGCTTCTACATTTCCCACACTACACTGGCCCTCCCCCTATTTTCTCCCCACTTTCTATGCTGCTTATTCTCTGTACCTTTTCCCCCTTCTCCTCCTCCCATTCCCCTGTTGCTAACCTTCCACGTGATCTCCATTTCTGTGGCTCCGCTCCTGATCTAGCTGTCCATTTAGTTTGCCTTTGTTTTAGGTGCGGTTGTTAATTACTGTGAGTTTGCTGTCCTTTCAGTGTTCATTTTTTTTTTAATCTTCTTTTTCTTAGGTAAGTCCCTTTAACATTTCATAGGATAAGGGCTTGGTGATGATGAACTCCTTGCACTTGACCTTATCTGAGAAGCACTTTATCTGCCCTTTCATTCTAAGTGAAAACTTTGCTGGATAGAGCAATCTTGGATGTAGGTCCTTGCATTTCATGACTTGGAATACTTCTTTCCAGCCCCTTCTTGCCTGCAAGGTCTCTTTTGAGAAATCAGTTGACAGTCTGATGGACACTCTTTTGTAGGTGACTGTCCCCTTATCTCTAGGATTTTCTCCTTCATTTTAATCTTGGCTAATGTAATTATGATGTGCCTTGCTGTGTTCCTCCTTGGGTCCACCTTCTTCGAGTCTCTCTGAACTTCCTGAACTTCCTGAAAGTCTATTTCCTTTGCCAGATTGGGGAAGTTCTCCTCTATTATTTGTCCAAATAACCTTTCCACTTGTTGCTGTTCCTCCTCCCCTTCTGGTACCCCTATAATTCAGATGTTGGAACGTTTAAAGATGTCCTGGAGGTTCCTAAGCCTCTCCTCGTTTTTTGAGTTCTTGTTTCTTCATTCTTTTCTCTTTGGTCATTTCTTTCTTCCTTCTGGTCCACTCAGTTGGTTTTAGTCCCAGTTTTGTTTCCATCACTATTGGTTCCCTGTGCATTTTGTCTCATTTCACTTGGTGTAGACTTCATTTTTTCATCTAATTTGTGACTAAAATCAACCAGTTCTGTGAGCATCCTGATCACCAATGTTTGAACTGTGCATTTGATAAGTTGACTATTTCTTGGTCACTTAGAAGTGTTGGTTCTGGGGCTTTGAGCTGTTCTGCTTGAGGTATAATGTTTTGGTCTGTTCACACCTGTTATGTATGAGGGGCAGAGCCTTAGGTGTTCACCAGGGCCGTGGGCCGTGGGCCTCAGGTCACTGGGTTGTGACACTGTATGTGGGGGTGGGGTCAGAGAGGGAATAAAGGCACTTGTTCTGCTCTCTCTCGGATTCCAGTCCCCCCTGCCACTTCCCAGAAGCTGGCACCTTTTCAGTCGATGCTTTGAGGCTTTATTTGCCGTCTCTGGGGCCCTGGGTTGCTCAGTCTGTCTTGCTGCCCATTTTTGCCTCTTTATCTGCACACGAATGTGTGACCAAGGTCAGCCCCATGGCGCCTTCACTCCCAGGTCTGGCTGCCACTGCCTTTTCCTGCCATGATCCCTCTCCGCTCCTCTTACCAGTCTGATTGAATGGTTGTCAGACTTACATACAGCTCAGTTTTCTGTCTGTTCTGGTTGTAAATCTTTGTTGTCCTTAATTTTGGTTGTACGAGGAGGCACAGTGTTTCACCTACGCCTCGATCTTGGCTGGAAGTCCCCGTACAATACTGTTAACTATAGTCATGGCACTGTAGGTTAGATCTCCAGCTTGGACATTTAAATAAAAGTAACTTTCCATTTGCCTCTGTTAAAGCGTCCAAATCAATGTCCTAACAAATCGAAGCATTTACTAGATTTATTCTGCTTCTTTTGAGGCCATTCCAGGGACCCAAGTCCACAATGCACACAGCCTTTCCTTTTTGGTGGAATTATAACTCCCACTCCCCCATTCACAGAGTCCCTGGGCACTTCTCAAGAGCAGGAAGGATACCTTTTATTTCCAATGAATCCCCTGTGCCCAGGACAGTCTTGGCAACTGTGGGAGTTCAGACTGAGTTGCCCCAAGATGTGCTTCTGTGGTATGTGGGAGTTGCCTTTGAGCTAAAGGCAATTTTAGCTGAGGGATCAAGAGAAATTTTTGCCTCTCCCTTAACTACTTGGAACTGAATTAAGGGCCTTGCCCATAATGAGAAATTATCAGAGATAACCTCGTTTGACCTACCTACGTAGCAGGGTAAACTACTAATTCCTGAACACATGTTCTCCCTGCAGTGACCTTCTGAAGTCCCCAGGTGCTTACCTTATTGCTAGCTCAGAAGGTCACAGAGACCCATTTTCTCTTGTGCACATGGGGTCTCTGACCCTGTCCTGTATGCAGTGTTCACATACACATGAAATTACACTTGGTTGTTTTCTCTTGTTAAACTGTCTCATGTCTATTTGATTATGAGAGCAGCCAGAAAGAACCTTGAGGATGGAGAAAAGTTTCTTCCTCCCCCACATAACGAACAGAACCTTGGTAGCTGCCTGTTGACGGGCGCAGTGACAGACTGGGTGGAATGCAAGGGGGACGGGGACAGGCAGCGACTGGGTACGTAGAGGCGTGATCTCTCAGGCCGTTGTAAATAGTTCATTTAGTGTTTATGTTCTATTAGCTCAGGTTAACCAGAGAGAGTGCACGAGAAGAAAAAAGAATGCAAAGCAATACAGCAACACACATTAGCGAACTCGATGAATCCCAGTTGGGGTGAAACATTTTAATCTAATGGTAGCATATAACACTGCACAGGGAACACTCGCAGCTCCGAGAGCGTCCCCCCAGATAACAAGGAAGTTCTCAGAACCAAGCAGATCGGCTATGGTCTGGCCCCTGCCGTGGGAGGGAGAGGACACGGAGAGAGAGAAGCACTGTCTGCTGCTTCCACGTCACTCGTCACTCATAGATCCAGTTCTGGGCGCAGCTCTTGTAATCTACGAGCTCCTCGGGCCGGAACCACAGGGCGATCTCCTTCTCCGCACTCTCCACAGAGTCACTGCCGTGGATAATGTTCCTGGAGGGGAAACGAGGGCACGTTCCGAGACCACAAGGGCTAAACTGCCCGGAAACGCCCCTCACTCCCATTGCCAGAAACCCCACAGACTACTGCCGCAGAAAAAACCCCCATGCCATCAGTTCAAAAGGACAAAACCGCCCTGGCTGGGGTGGCTCAGTGGATTGCACGCCGGCCTGCAAACCGAGTCACCGGTTTGATTCCCAGTCAGGCACATGTCTGGGTTGCAGGCCAGGTCCCCAGTTGGGGGCATGTGACAGGCAACCAATCAATGTATCTCTCACACCTTGATGTTCCTCTTTCTCCCTCCCTTCCCCTCTAAAAATATATAAATCTTTAAAAATAATAATAAAGATAGCAAATTTGTTACAAAAAAACCGGAGAAAACCCACCACTACCTTTAATGTAGGATGAAGACTGCCCTCCCCACACCCCCCCTTCCTGGCGCCATAGATGCAAGCAGTGAGAGGCTTTAGGAAGGACTCTGGCCGGCAAGGTGTGTTACACCAGCCTCTACCCTCCCAAAAGAGGGACAACTACAATGATGTTGGCATCCAAAAGCAGAGAGCCTACAAAGCCAAACATAAACTTAAGAGAAACAATGAACTGATTTAAAACTGATCTGAATAAGGTATCATGGCCGTCCCTAGCTGTAGGAACTCGAATTCTTATGGCGACTCAGACTCTGGAAAAGGGTAAAAAGTACCAACTCTCACCTGCCAACTTGGATACAAAAGTCCCCCCGGATGGTCCCAGGTTTGGAATCCGCTGGGTTGGTCTCCCCAAGCATCACTCGGCCTGTCTTCACAACATTCAGCCCCTCCCAGACCTCCAAGGACAAAGGAAGGTACAGTCAAGGAAGAAAACCAATCTCAGCAGAAAACCTGAAGACTACTAATTCAAAAAAGAAAAGTAAAAAGCCCCCTTAAGACGACATTCATTCATTGAACAAATATATGGAGAGACGTTTCTCCATCATCTGCCCATCCTCCCTTTGAAGATGTAGAGGCCAGGAAAGCTATGAAAACAGGTTCCTACTTTGTTTCATTCATGACTGCATCCCCAGTATCTAGAAAAGAACTTGGCAAAATGATGACTACCAATACCTACTTGGAGAATCACTATGTTAAATCCTCCCCTCCGGAGGCTTGTAATCAGACAGACCCAGCCTGATTGCTCCCAGGTATGAGTCTTCAGTTCCGCAAGCAAATGCGATCCAGTCTTTAGTAGACCAGGGAGCTGACTCATCTTAACTGTCCACTCCTCCCAGCCCCAGATGCCTCTGCATCAGTGAGGACCTGGCATCAGAAGCATGAATCACAGCACTCACTCTTCACCCTCGACTGACTCATTCACATCAACATCCCATACATGCACACTCACCATGGCAACCACTGGCCCTGAGTGCATGTATTTCACCAAGCCAGTAAAGAATGGACGGTCCTTCAGGTCGATGTAGTGTTCCTTGAGAAGGTCTTCAGAAGCCTATTACATAAGATAGAGAATGAGGATTGGCCCCAAAACTAGGAACCAGTGGTTATTTCCCCCTCACCCATCCTGCTGTTTAAAATGTGAGCTCCCAGCACACTGATTCTGTTATAACCCAATTCATTCTCAAGACTACTGTGACTGCCTCCGTTGCCATGGCTCAGTGAATTGAGCACCAGCCAGTGAGCTAAAAGGTTGGCAGTTCAATTCCCAGTCAGGGCGCATGCCTGGGTAGAGGGCCAGGTCCCCCAGTTGGGGGCGTGCAAGAATCAACCAATTGATGCATGTCTCCCACTGTTATGTTTCTATTGCTCTCTTTCTCTCTCCCCTCTCCTCCCTCTAAAAGTAAATAAATAAAATCTTTTTAAAAAGAAAGAAAAAACTACTAGGACTAAAACTGCTTAAACTTTGTACCAATTTTGCCCCATTGGCCCTGACTGATCAGATAAAATTACAGAACATTAGATTCGTATTCAGTCGTCTTGCTCTAAAGAAGAAATCTGATAATGCAATGGATTTCCATTCCAGAGGATGTCTCCGCTAAAGTGTTAGAGGGGAGTTAGGAGGGTGGTTTTAACATTTGATGAGAGGCAAACTGAACCAGGGACTCTTCATGCTGACTCAGGGGATGAAGGGCTGGGGTTGTGATCATGCAATTCTCACAGCTATTTGCAAACTACCCAGAAGTTCACGACATCTAGCAATAAATAATTCTGCTAAGAATGAGACTCTCTCACATTACAAGGCTGATACGTGAGAAAAAATCAACTTAGCTAAAGTAAAAACCATCTGCCAAGCAATTCCCACTCAACTCAACTGTGTTCTCTCTCTGCCACTGCACATGGACTTGTTGAGGGGCTAACAAGTTCCCCTAGTGTTTTCAGTCTCACAGTACTGCACTGTACAAAGCATATTGCACATTTCAGTAACGCACACAAACATGGAGATGTGCTGCCGAAAAGCACGTCCAGGACATCCTAAAGTCCCGCCCCCAGTGACAAGGTCATTTGCCAAAGTAAACTCACACAGCCACGTGTTCATTCCATGTTAGCAGGTCATCCTCACCGTCCCTTTCAATCTGAATCGAGGATTAGGCAGAGTGTGTGAGACACACACACTGCCTTGACCTTCCCCTTACCAGAAGACTCTTTTACTGCTAGTAATGGGTTTTTATTATCTCTAGTCTGCAAAACAGATCAGACTTCTGGGGGGCAGGGGAGGACCTCAAGTTTCCCCTCATCTCCCGCTTCATCAGAATCAAATAAGCCTGTCGGACTCATGGCAGCTACCCCTCCTCCCACTCTTCTCCAAGCCTGGGGCTCAGAGAGACCTGAGTTAAAATCCCAACTGCATCGCTGGCTGTGTGCTTTCAGACACGTAACTTAACCTCCAAGTCTCAGCTCCCTCATCACTAAGAACCACAGGAATAGGACTAAGTACCTCTCAGGGTTGCCATGAAGGCTAGATGAGAAAACACACATGCCCAGCACATGGTAAATGACCGATCAACTACACTTGATTTCATTTTGCCTTCAAACCTAACACAAAATGCAAACCCTCTGAAAAGCACTGCTTGTCCAGCACCTGGCTCTAATCATTCCATCATGTTCTCCCCTCAGCATTAATATCAGTTTACTCCCTTGAAAATTACAGCAGTTTTGTAAAACATCACATAGGAAATCAGTTGTAAATCAAACTAAATTTAAGATGTACTAGAAGAGTCCAAAGTTGACTCCTTTAATAGAAGAAAATATTGTCCCCTGATGTATTTTCTTTGAGAATGTGAACTCTCCTTTCCCAGGTTTGTTTGAAGATGGGCGCTTGGCCAATCAATCCTGTGCATTTTTTGAAATATTGTTTTGCAGGTTTTTTGCAAAAGTGCCTGCTTCCTGCTGTTTCAGATCGGCCTCCCAAGGGGCAAAACCACACTTTTGCCCCACACGCCTCAGTGGTGCCTAATATATGCTAGACAGTAAGTGGGTGGTAAATGATGACAGAAAGATTTCCTTTAGAGGAGGAAAAATGTCTAAAATGGTCTGCTTGGGAAGCTCAAGAACGAAGCTCAACCATGACCAGAGCTTTGAGTCAGAAATCACAGTCCTGCCCTGGCTGGTGTGGCGCAGTGGACTGAGCGCCTGCCTGAGAATGAAAGGGTCGCCAGGTCAATTCCCAGTCAGGGCACATGCCTGGGTTGCAGGCCAGTTCCCAGTAGGGGATGTGTGAGAGGCAACGACACAATGATGTTTCTCTTCCTCTCTTTTTCCCTCCCTTTCCCTCTCTCTCAAAATAAATACATAAATAAATCTTAAAAAAGAAATCACAGTCCTGCAGTAAATATGGAACTCTGCATTGCTAAGGGAAAGGGGAGGCTGTTTTCTAAAGTCCCAGAGATCTTAGTTTGTTTCAAGACTCGGCCATGATGCTAGGTCACCGAAGAGTCAACCTACAACATTCCTTGTCCTACAAAAGAATAGGAACAAGAAGAGTAAAGTCCACTTACCTGTATGAATTTCATAGCAACAAGGCGGAACCCCTTCTGCTCAAAACGCTTGATGATCTCTCCCACAAGCTGGCGCTGGACCCCATCAGGCTTGATGGCGATGAAGGTGCGCTCACTGTTGGCCATGGTCCTGGGGAAAGACAGGTGGGATGGCACTGATCAGTGAAACAGCAGTAAATATCCTGCCTACATCATTATCCTTCCCAAGCGGATTTACCCCATTAATCTGATTTAATTTTTCATGTCAACTCCAAGTCTCTCTAGTAAAAACCCAATTCCTCCTCAGTCCTCTCATGCATGAACTAATATTCCAGAATGGAGGAGAGTCCAAAAGCAGGAGCTATAATTTCTATCTTATTTTATTTATTTTTAAGATTTTATTTACTTTTTAAAGAGAGGGGAAGGGAGGGAGAGAGGGAAACATCAATGTGCAAGGGAAACATTGATCAGTTGCCCCTCATACGCCCCCATACAGGGGCCTGGCCAGTAACCCAGGCATATGCCCTGACCAGGAATCAAACCACTGACCTTTTGGTTCACAGGTCAGTGCACAACCCACTGAACCACACCAGCCAGAGCATATCCTATTTTATTTAATGCACTTATATTAAATATCTACTGTGTATCCAATACTGGGGCAAAACTAAAATAGGGGATGTAAAAAAAAAAACCTATCTCAATTATCCCAATGAGGAAAAGTACAGTGATAATGTGAAAGGGACATCTGATCCCAGGCAGTATGAAACATGATTTCACCTACTACACATCATGGTATTAGAACTGGAAAGATTTTCAGAGATTACTTCATTACAATCTCCTTCATTTCACAAATGAGGAAACTGACCTATGGCACCAGAATACAGGCCAAAACCCAGATTTCCCAACCCTGTGCAATTTATGCTACGTGATAAGATGCAATGAATATTCTGACTAACCAATAAACGCTGGATTGTGGGAGAACTACAGCCATTAGTAATATCTGATACAGGACACCACGCTGGAAGGAAGCCTAGAAAGCATCTATTACAGATCATTCCTTCTGCAGAGAAGAAGGCTGGGCCCAAGACCTGCTCTGCCTCCACAGGAGGAGAAGGAGGCCTCTCACCTCGAAAGCCAATTTCTCAAATGGATAGCAGCACCACCTCCTGGCTCTATCTTCCTGTACTTTAGTAAACCTATTACAGCACCTTAACAAGGCATTTGAATTTTATGTTTGTGTGTCTGTCTTCCCCAGTGATCTGTTGTCTGACCCTGGTCAGTCTAGCCAGAGCCTACCACTAAACAAATGCAAAAAAAAAAAAAGTTTTAAGTGATAATCACCCTATCCCTCCAAGAAAGAGACAGAGTCCAAAGACTGGAGGAGAGCTCCCGATGGAGGTTTGAGACAAGCATGGATTCACCAGGAGAAAAATGTGGCTTAAAAGCCAGAAATAGTCCCTATAAATGTCCCTCCATGCCCGCCATGACATACACTTGTCATTCGTTCTGCAATGATATACTGAGCGCCAGCTCCGTACCCAGGACTGCACTTGACAAAAACAAGTAAGGCACAACCCCTGCAGTCGCGGCGTTAAGGGAAAGGTAGCCACATTCCACGGACAAAGGCGAGTCCACGTGGACGTGTGCTGACAGGTATGCACCTGACTACAGACGGTCTCCCACCCTTTCCTCCCATTCAAACCCTTTTGCCACCTCTCAGACCGGAACTCACATGACTCCTTCGCCTCCCCGCGCCCCCGACCCCACTGCTCTCCCTCTCCTCTCAGGACCCTGAACCCTTCTCACCCCTCCAGCTGCTAGAACTTCCACTCCGCCTCCTGTCGCCGGCACCGGAAACCCGCCCCTAACCCACGTGGTTCCCGGCACCCGTATGGGCGGAACCCTTCTGCTCAAATAGGCTACCCATAAGACCTTTTTTGCAGAGCACCACTTGCTCACGCTTCCCTTTGCGAGTCGGGCATCATTCTAGGGAGCAACTTTTAGATCTTTAACTTCCGGCACCGCTCTTCCGGCAGGCTGCGGCCATCATTTTTTTTTTTTTAAGATTCTGCGACTCACTTCCTCCATCCTGGAGTAAATTGGCTTCCCGGGAGGTGGCGCTCGTACTTTGCCTGAAGTCTGAACGCGCTCTTGACTGAGAGGTAGACACGTCTTCTGGCTTTGTATTTATTCATTCTTTCCAGTCTGTCGAACAATAAATTCTTTATCGAGTATCTGCTTATGTGCCTGCCACTGTTCTAGGACCTGGTGGTATAGCAGTAAACTCTCTCGGTACTTCTGGTGGGGTCGGGAATGGGTTGAACAATAAACAGATGAATATCGCATTATGTAAGTGCCGTTAAAAAACCGGAGTTGGGGGAGGGGAAGCAGGGGAGATCGAAGGAGTAAACTTTTTTTTTTCTTCAGATTTTACTTATTTTTAGGGAGAGGGGAAGGGAGGGAGAAAAAGAAGGAGAGAAATACCGATGTGCGAGGGAAATTGTGGATCAGTTGCCGGCCCCATCACGCCCCCTACGTTGGCATGCGCACCCCGCACCCGCAGACCTGGTCTACAAGCCAGGCATGCGCCCTGACTGGGAATCCAGCTGGCAACCTTTCTGTCTGTGGGCGACGCCCAACCCGCTGGGCCACACCAGTCAGGACTGGAGTAAACTATTTTAAAAGTTGGTTGAGGAAATCTCTCTCTGAGGAGGCAACACATGAAATGAGAGAGCAAGTCCGGTGATTATCTGAGAGCAGAGTTTAATTGTGGGCGTCCTGTGGCAGAAAATGCGGTTGGAGAAGGGCCAGATTATGCTATGCTGAGAAGCCATAAAAGCATTTTGATCAGGACATGACATCATTCATACACATTTTTTTAACATTCTGACTGCTGTAGAAGGAATGGATGGGGGTGGGGCGGGTAAGGTGCAAAGTGGAATGAGGAGAGGTTTCAACAAATGGTGCTGAGCAACTGGACATCTCTAGAGAAAAAAAAAACTCTACTTAAACCTCCTACTTTAAGCAAAAATTCACTCAAAATGGATCATAGATTTAGATGTCAACTGTAAAACTCTAAAGAGTTTAGAAAAAAACATGGTAAAAAATCTAAAAGGCAAAGGGCTAGGCAAAGACTTTTTAGATTTACCACCAAACAGACAACCCATAAAAGGAAAAAGTTGATAAATTGGATCTTACTGAAATTTAAAACTTTTGCTCTTCCAAAGGCTCTGAAAAGAGGATGAAAACCCAAGCTACAGGGTGGGCGAAAATATGAACAAACCACATACCAACATAGGCCTTGGATCTAAAATACATAAAGAATTCTCACAACTCAACGGTACAAAAAATCAAATTAGAAAATGAGCAAATGATAAGAATAAACATTTCACTGAAGACGTTACACAGGTGGCAAATAGGCACATTAAAAGATGTTTAACATCATCGTTAGCCATTAGGGAAATGCAAATTAAAACCACCATGAGATATCATAATGGCTAAAAGTAAAAATAGTGACAACACCAAATGCCGTCAAGAAGGTGGAGAAGTTGGATCCACCCATATGTTGCTGGTGGTGATGTAAAATGGTAGAGCCGCTCCGGAAAAGCTTGGCAGTTTCCTATAAAACCAAACATGCATTGCATGTATGACTGAGCAATTCACTCCTGGTTTTTTATCCCAGAGTATTAAGATATGATCTGTTTACACAAAAACCTATACATAAATATTTATAGCAACTTTATTTGTAATTACCAAAACTGAAAACAGCCCAAATGTCCATCAAGTAAATGCTTAAACAAACTATGTTTCATCCATACCATGAAACACAATTTTAAGAAATTATTAATATATGAAACTTGGATAGATCTCAAGGAAATTATGTTGAGTGAAAAAAGCCAATTGAAAAAAATCGTACACTATATTACTGCATTTATAAAACATTCTGGAAATAACAAATTATAGAGATAAAGAACAACAGACTAGTGGTTGCTAGGAGTTAGGGTTGGAAGAGAGGGCAGGGGTGTGTTCCTACAGGCGTAGGAGCACCAGGGAGTCTTGTGATAAAATAATTGTTCTGTGTCTAGATTGTGATGGCAGTTACACAGTCTACACACTGTGACAAATTGGCACAGAACTGTACACACACAAATGAGTACATGCAAAACTGACTATATCTGAAGGAATTCTGTAGATTATACCAATGTTAATTTTCTGGTCTTACTACTATACTATAATCATGCAAGATGTTTACCCATGGATGGCACTGGGTGAAGGGCATGTGGGACCTTCTTGTACCTATTTTTTAAAACTTCCCATGAATTTATAATTCTTTCAAATTTTTTTAAAGTGTAAACAGAAAACTGGTTGAGACTACAGTAGTATTTCAAGGAGGAGATGATCATTTTTTCCCTCCTTCTGGTCCACTCCTTTGATTTGAGTCCCAGTTTCCTTTCCATTACTCTTGGTTTCCTGTGTATTTCCCTTCATTTCAATTAGTTTAGCCTTCATATGTTCCTCTAATTTGTGACTAAAATCAACCAGTTCTGTGAGCATCCTGATCACCAGTGTTTTGAACTGTGCATCTGAAAGTTTGGCTATTTCTTCATCGCTTAGATTTATGGGCTCTGGGGCTCTGAGTTGTTCTTGAGCCATGTTTTGATCTGTTTGTGCCTGTTACATATGAGGAGCGGAGCCTTTGGTGTTCACCAGGAGGGGACCACCCAGGTCGCTGGTTTGTGATGCTGTATGTGGGGGCGAGGTCAGAGAGGGACAATGGCGGTTCCCTCTGGCCCTTCCTGCCACTGGGGCCTGTGCGGTCCATCTCACTGCTAGCTCCTTCACCAGTTTATCTGCACACGAATGTGTGACCACCATCAGCCCTCAGTGGGTCCACCCGCTTCTCCACACCTGGGATCCGCCCACAGCTGCTGGCGCTCCTGGGTCACGTGCCCGGGTCGTCCGGTGGATCTTCCCTGCTTGAACCGCTCTGCTGCTGGCTCTGCCCCTCTTACCGGTTCGGCTGAAGGGTTCATTGTTGTCAGACTTCCGTGTAGCTCAATTTCTGTGGTTTGGCTGCGTTTTTGTTGCTAAAACTTTGTTGTTTTTAAACTTGGTTGTGGGACAAGGCCCAGTGCTTCCACCTATGCCTCCATCTTGGCAGATGAAGAAACAAGAATTCAAAAAAATGAGGAAGCCCTGGCTGGTGTAGCTCAGTGGATTGAGCGTGGGCCTGCGAACCAGACGATCGAGGTTTCGATTCCCAGACAGGGCACATTCATGGGTTGCAGGCCAGTTCCCAGCAGGGGCCAGTTCCCAGCAGGGGATGCACAAAAGGCAACCATACATTGATATTTCTCTCCCTCTCTCCTTCCCTTCCCCTCTAAAGATAAATAAATAAATTCTTTTAAAAAAATAAATAATAAATAAAATGCATAGCTTATTTTATTCATATGCTAACAATTAGTTTCTGAACCATTAAAAAAAATGAGGAGAAGCTTAGGAACCTCCAGGACGTCTTTAAACGTTCCAACATCCGAATTATTGGGGTACCAGAAGGGGAAGAGGAACAGCCACGAGTGGAAACCTTATTTGAACAAATAACAAAGGAGAACTTCCCCAATCTGGCAAAGGAAATAGACTGCCAGGAAATCCAGGAAGCTCAGAGAGTCCCAAAGAAGTTGGACCCAAGAAGGAACACACCAAGGCACATCATCATTATATTAGCCAAGATTAAAATGAAGGAGAGACTCCTAGAAGCAGCAAGAGCTAAGGGGACAGTCACCTACAAAGGAGTTTTCATCAGACTGTCAGCAGATTTCTCAAAAGAGACCTTGCAGGCAAGAAGGGGGTGGAAAGAAGTATTCCAAGTCATGAAATCCAAAGACCTACATCCAAGATTGCTCTCTCCAGCAAAGCTTTCATTTAGAATGGAAGGGCAGATAAAGTGCTTCTCAGATAAGATCAAATTCAAGGAGTTCATCATCACCAAGCCCTTATTATATGAAATGTTAAAGGGACTTACCTAAGAAAAAGAAGATAAAAAAGATGAACAGTGAAAGGACAGCAAACTCAACAGTTATTAAGAACCACACCTAAAACAAAAGCAAACTAAGGGGACAGCTAGATCAGGAGCAGAACCATAGAAATGAAGATCACATGGAGGGTTAGCAACAGGGGAGTGGGAGAAGGAGAAGGGGGGAAAAGGTACAGAAAATAAGTAGCATAGATGGTAGGTAGAAAATAGATAGGGGGGAGGGCAAGAATAGAATGGGAAATATAGAATCTAAAGAACTTGAGACGTGGTCATGAACTAAAGGGGGGAATGGTGGGAGAGGGGTGTGCAGGGTGGAGGGGAATGAAGGGGGGAAATAGAACAACTGTAATGGCATAATTAATAAAATATATTTTTTTAAAAGGTCAGAAGGAAATCTTTGAAATATATAATTAATTAATTAATTAATTAATTAATTATTTTTTTAAAAAAGGAGGAGATGAAGCCCTGGCTGGTGTAGCTCAGTGGATTGAGCGCGGGCCTGCGAACCAGACAATCGCGGTTCGATTCCCAGTCAGGGCACATACTGGGGTTGCGAGCTGGTTCCCTGCGGGCCAGTTCCCAGCAGGGGACGCAAGAAAGGCAACTATACATTGATGTTTCTCCTCCCTCTCTCCCTCCCTTCCCCTCTAAAGGTAAATAAATAAAATCTTTAAAAAAAATAGTATCATTCAAATAGGTATCATTATAAAAAAAAAAAGGAGGAGATGATGGTGGTTTGCAATAGGTGATGACAAAAGACAGGGAGAAAAGTGGCTTAGGTATAGGATATATATTTGAGGTTGAGCCCGGGGGGGGGGGGAACAAACTTTTCTCTACCTTCAAGATTCT